AGGAAATACAATAAGGTTTAGGAAATACAATAAGGTTTAGGAAATACAATAAGGTTTAGGAAATACAATAAGGTTTAGGAAATACAATAAGGTTTAGGAAATAAAGTTTCAACATGAGGTTCACTACTTCTTTAATGAAATATGTAAAGATGATGCTATCCCATTTGAACTACTCCCATTTGAACTACTCCCGTTTGAACTATTGTTCGTTTGAACAACTGCACGTGGTACCACGTGAATAGTTGAAATGAACAATAGTTCAAACGAGTTAATTTAATGCTCATTTGAACTAATTTCAGTTCATTTGAATTATTGTTTATTTGAACTATTAATATTATAAATGAAATAAACAAAAAAAAAGTTCAAATGAACATAAAAATAGTTCAAATGGACATAAAAATAGTTGAAATGAACAAAACAATAGTTCAAATGGGCAGTTCAAATGAACATAAAATAGTTCAAATTAACAAAAAAATAGAGTTCAAATGAACATAAAAATAGTTCAAATGAACATAAAAATAGTTCAAATGAATTCATAAAAATAGTTCAAATGTTAACATAAAAATAGTTCAAATGAACATAAAAATAGTTCAAATGAACATAAAAATAGTTCAAATAAACATAAAAATAGTTCAAATGAACAAAAAAATAGTTCAAATGAACATAAAAATAGTTCAAATAAACATAAAAATAGTTCAAATGAACATAAAAATAGTTCAAATAAACATAAAAATAGTTCAAATGGACATAAAAATAGAACCTATCAATTTTGTACATGACCATTTTTTTTGTTCACAAATTAGAATTGGTCATGTGGCCGCAGCGCTCGCGCGCCCCCTAGCCTGTCCTAGCCGCAGCGCTCGACCCAGAAATGAGCTTAACCTAACCTAACCCTAAAATAATAAATTTTATTAAAAATTGTAGTTAAGAATTGAGGCTAGCTAATTGAGCACGGGGTTCAGGGCCGCTTGGCCTTTCCTCCCTCCTATGTGCAGATACCTTTCTCAGCGTCTACTGAAAATAATGAAGAAAACTTTTTGAGCAGAGCTCTGCTATTCTAGGTTGTTTGAATGCAACTGATTTATGTAATCTGTAAAAATACGGATTCATTTCAATCGTTATGCATATAGATATTAATTTCACCATATTAAGAAAAAATATGTTACTTAAAACTTTATACTTAATTGTCTTGATCTTTAAACTTTTTGTTTTTGCCCCCCCCCCCCCC